TCGGACAGATTTGTAATCTCCGCCTTCTGCCAACCCGCTAACTCGCTCAGCCTCAACGTGCTGGATCTTGGTTCGTGTCCTACAATCCAACCACGTGAAGCGGCATGCACGATCATTGGATACATTGTCACCAATGTACTTGCCGCGTGGAGTGATGTGCATAGGACGACGCTGCTTGCCAACTTTCGCACGCTGCAGTTCGTCTATCGAGAATCTCAAATGTGGTGGCGGCAACGATTTCCGCGTCCCACATCCGAAAATGTGCCAACTGGAGGACGAAGGCCGACTGCACGACGAACCGCTGTCTCCCGTCGACGTTGTTGAGTCTGCTTGTGCCCCTCTCAGCGCCGAGGACTAACGTGTCCACATCGATCGGCCGAGGTGGAATCGGCTTTGGCGTCGGGCGAAGTGGTGCTGTGCAAAGCGTTCGAATATTTGCAAAAACTTGACATCTATGATATCGAGAGTTCGATACGGATTATTTGATGAGTATATTCAACTTTAAATATATACCTATTACATCGAATAAATACTTACAAAAATATATTTACATATTTGTAAGTATTTATTCGATGTGACAGGTAAATTTGTACTCAAGGTGCATCGATTGGTCGTGCACGCTCAGCGGGATCAACAAGGTCAGTCTGGGGTGTGAATGAACGAACCACCGGCTGAGATGCGATGCGTTTGATTGTAGGATTCATGCGATCGAGCTGGGACCGCAACATGGCAAGCAGGGACGCCAGTTCGGCTTGGTTTTGTGAGTGAATTTCCTCGATACGTCTCTTTAATGCGTTGATCTCAGAGGATTGTGAGAGTAGGGCAGCCATGACAGACGTGGAAGACTGCGATTGCTCACCCAATTGAGCCATTTCGGCTCCCAAGGCCACCAATTTCAATTCACCGTCAAATCCACTGGGCATTATGGCAATTTTGTCGACAAACTGAGGGACTTCTGTGTTGGAGTCAATATTGGCAGCAGAACGGATTGAATTGAGTATTTTTTGTTGCAAACGTGTTGGCAGAAGTGGGTATTCACTGTCAAATTTGCTGGACGTTTGAACTGCTGCATATATGAGAGGAAGCGCCAGTAATTGCGCAATTTCGTTGGAGAATGCATGAGCACAATTGGGGGCAATGTTGTTCACGAAAAATGACGGAGAGCACCAATTATTTCCCACCAAAATATATTTCGCCGCTCCATTTGGACCACATAAACGTGATGCAACTTGAGCATCAGGAAATGATCGTTCAATATCAATGTACGTGTCAACTTGCTTCTTATGACCCCACCATCGACCACGCAATTCAATGTGGTCTTTTGAAACACCACATTTTGCACAATATGTTGCTGCTCCCTTTCGAATGCTGTGGGTTCCCAGGTTTCTGACCACCAGTTTACGAAAGTCGCAATGCTTCAATGCCGCACCAAGAAGGGAGCGAACCATTCTGTGTCCATCATTTCCATTACCATACAAAAAGCAATCACCAACCAGTGGGTCCACTAACGTCTCCATGTACACAGCCAGGTTCAACAAAGGGCATAAATGATCGTCCATGGATGCAAGGACAATTTGATGAGGGGCTTTGCGCTCCTCGGAAATATACACCGCATCTGACACAGCAGGGTAAACTGATGACTTGGGTTGAATGAAAACTCACGCAAACAGAGTTTCATCATGTCGTCGCCTCGTGCAACCAGGTGCCATTGCAACGTGATAACGCTCCCAAGCCGGTATCGATCCAATTCCGAAAATTCGGAGCATAGTGGTATGACTTTTAATGCATTCATGAACTCGGTGAACTCAATGGGCCTGCGGGCTTTTGACTCGACGCCCTGAAGTCGCACCTCACATTTCATCACCAACTTGATGATGTCATTTACAACCACAGATCGCGTTGGGTTGCCCTCTCGCCGGATTTTGTCCCATGGAATCATGCGGCGTGGCATGAACGCGCTGAGCAACTTTTTCATACATTTAAGGGTGTTTGCTCGTGCATGTGTTGGAAGGGAAGCAGACGTTGGCGCAGTAGTTCCAAAGGCCTTAAGGTTGAAGTTGCGCCGGATGTCCTCAGGGGTCACATCCAGCAAGTTCGTCTCGGTTGGGGTCGTTGAGCTCCTCGGTGCGTCCCAAGAACTCCATGAAGCGCCCTGAGCTCCATCTGGTATACTTTGTTTGCTCGATCCATTTGCGGTGTGATTTGTGTGATATTGAATAGGAATGATTGGGCAGTTTTATCACACTGTGAATCACACTTCAGTGTGATAAAAACCCCACCGGAGAATCCCAGTGGTTCAGAAATTGACCTCATTTTCAGCCAATCATTTCCAAATCAATGCTATGTGCGAGACCTGATTTGGCAAATATTTGAAAATACAACGTTGGTGTGATTTTGTCAATAACATGTGAGTGTGAAAAGCCGTCGTTGTGTCTGAAGTTACTCCCGGATAAACGTTCGGATAATGTTGGCAAGTTATCCTTTGTCAATATAGTCCGATTATGTAATAGACCGCTTGTAATACCCGTCTTAGGTAGCAAAATGTATGGATAACATGGAGCCAATATGTCTTTTCTGCACAGAGAGAAACAGGCTTGTCATACTTGATGAATGTATCAATCCTCCATCCAATATGCTCAAATTTTAGTCAGGAAATTGCGGAATTCCGGATACTTCCCCGCGCCTTTTTCAGGCAACAAGCGGATTTGAATTTCTAGACGACGACGTCCACGCGGGGACACAATGGCGAAGGAAGAAATACTCGGAGTATGCGCATTCAATGCTCCTCTGGATATGGAAGTGAAGAACTGCTTCTACTTGCCGCAAGCACCTGGACGGGTTGTTTTCAGTATTGGATCCCGTGAGGATGCAGCAATCGAGTCGATGTCGATTACACTAGATCAAGAGCACGCTGTACCTGCCGCCCATGCAAATGTGGCATCTGTTTCTGCCATCTCGCACAATGGGCTTGACCTGGAGCTTCAGGGTCATATCGATGGCAGTCTTCACTTGATGCACATCCAGGATCAACGAGTGCTCTTTCGTTACGAGGTGACCAAGAACACCGACCCGATCACTCAAGTGTCGTTACACTCGGTGGGTTCGAGTCTGGAAATTATAGTGCTGCTGTACAGTGGCAAGCTCATGGCGGTCGAAGGGCTTTGCTTGGAAGATGTCCTACAATTCCCTCCAGTGCCGATGGCGACAATTCTTCCCGCAGTGCGATTCCGAGTTGGTACCGTCGGTCCTTGTCACAAATATCCATCTTTGGTACACTTTCATTGTTTATCTATCTCTCACGCGGTGCGTAGATGCAGATTCGTCGTACATCCGCGTGTACAGACGTCGTGATTGGAAACCACGGCGAATCTTCCATCAGCCGATGGACTGCGAGCACAACGACTTCCCCCGACGGAAAGGCGTTCAACACTTTTGCGGTACAGTTCTCAATCGCAACGTATATAACATTTTGCACCTGTTCGCAGGATCAAGCCAATGTCAGCTGTAATTCGTTCCCTTCACTTCAGAAGGTCCATATCGGGAGGTCAGGAGAGGTTATCGTTGCTGTTTCCGACAATACCATTGCATGGTACAGAGAACATAAATTCAATATCTCAAAATGAACGTAGGTGTGATGCCCAATCCTTGGGGCTGCTTTATGAGCATTCGATCGCTCCTCGCGTTATTCAGAGCTCTGTGTGTGTTGGCGACGGATGGACGGTTGTGTATGCAACGTTGAGTTCAGAGGCTAGGTCAGAAATTTTCATGGTGAGCGTCGCGTACAGAAGTCCTCAAGGATCGACAGTGTCGATTCAATCGTGTGGCTCGTTTCCATACATTTCCACGTTCTTATTCTCGAAAGGTGACAGCCTCGTCGTTGGTGGATTTGCAAGGGAGGGCCTCACAGTGCTTCAAATTGAACTGGATGAAACTCCATCGTCCTATGCTTCCAACTCCCTTCCGTCGAAGTCACTGAACGACCTCTTTCGGGATATGCAGCTTCCAACATGCACTGTTTCACGAGAGGAATTTCAAACGGCATTGTGGACTGCCCTGGATATCAATCACGACCAAGTCGCCATTTGTTTGAACCAAACATTTCCTCAAAGCCAATACGTGGACTGGCTGATGGATGATCTGCGTGAATGGCGGCCTGACGACCCGACGGTGACTGCGCAACATGCTCGGTGGATAACGTTTCAACTCATGACCAACTCAACCTCATTTTCAGCAACGCTCTGGCATGAATTTCGTTCCGCAAACATGGTGCATATCCTCCAGCTACTGCTCAGTCAAGGTGCTCTCGGTCGTGTTCAAATTCTGTGGCGCCGCCATGTGTGCCTCGAGTTAGTCGAAACGTTCGACGTCACATTATTGCCATTGGATCTACATGCGGCCACTGTCACGAGTTGGATTCAGCACGAGGTTCTACCTGCTTTTCATCATTACAAAGTTCCCATCGAAAAACTGGCGCTTGAAATTGTCGAACGAGCCAAGATTATTGCCACAGAAGGTGACATTGAGGGTGCCTTGTTGTGGACCACCGTAGTTTGCCCCCAAGTCCTGCCGCCAGAGAGGCTGTGGAAGCAATCAGCACTTGAAAAGGACGCCACCCGTCATTTGCATATTCAGTTGCAACAACTCGTTCATTTGGTAACCTTCACAATGTGCTGCTTCCCATTTCCAATGTTTGACAAGTTGCAATACCCAGGGTAATCAATTTGACTTCTACGTGTCGTTTGAAGCATTTCAAGCGGTAAGCTTGCTTGCTTTTGAACAAATGGTCATGTTGAATTGTACCTGCTTCAGGCAACTGTCGCAGGCTTGGCTATGGCTATGCTAGATCGCGTGCAACTGCCTGACATGCTCCCTGCAGAACTAACCTCGCATGTCGAGCCGTTCCTCGTCATCGCTTCCAATCTGACTCTAGACGACATTTTGGTGGACTATGTCTTGGAAAAGGCGGCGGAAATCCCGGTATACTTTGAAAGCAGTCACCACTTCACAAAATCGTATGCTACTGTAGTTTGACGTGAAGCGATGCTGCATTCTACTGGACAAGATAGCGTCGCTGGAGAAACGAGCCAAGTCAGCCTTGGTCGTGTTGCAGTCGATACCACTTCCGTATTTACCATCCATGCTTGAACTTGCTGCAAACGCTGCCAACTGGTCAAGCGTGTTTCAAATGGAGTTACAAGAGCAGCTTCGCTTGATGCAACTGGAGGTTCGTTGCTAATTTCTTGCTGCTAAGTATGTTGGACACCATGTACACAATTTCGTAGGAACTCTTTCGCCAATATGGACTGAAATATGACATTCATGATGCTCGGTTGCCCGCTCGATTCTGCCGCTACTTGTGCACTCAAGTAGACAACCCACAGGCGTTTGGGGATGCACTAAATTTAGCTCAAGCGTCTCATCAGCTCCGGAAGGAACGAGTGATTGTTCAGCACATGCAAAACGTTTTGCTTGCTTCTTGGAGTGACAATCGAAGCATTCAGCTCCTTCAGGCAATCGAGGTACACCCGTACAAATCGAACGAGCAAATGAAATGAATCTCCTTAGGCAATAGAGGCTCCTCGAAAGTGGGCCATTGCTGCGGAAGTGGTACAGTTTGGCTTGATGTACTTGGACACTTTACCACACATGAGCCATTTGCTGCTCGCTTTCGTGTCCCCACTGATGGCACAAAATCCAATCCATCGCGGGTTTGAGCGGGTGGTAAACTCGACGTTGCAACATGCACTGCGCCAAGTGGACCAACTTCGAGCGCTGCATAATCTGCCCATGTCAATGAACACTTATCAGTCGCCGTCGCAGCACCCAGAATTGTTGGAATCGCTCTTACAGCCGTGGTTGGACGCACTCATTCAGCCTTCACCGTCCCTCAAGCGAAAGCGCAATGCTCCAGGTGAAGGAGCTAGAGAATCTCGGCCAATGACGACCGAAGGAACCAATGCGTTGACGAAAACTCAACAGTGTAGTCTGCTGCTGGGGATGTCAACTTTCGACTTTCGCGCATTTCTGGGGGTGCAAGCCGCGTCCAGGGGCGACATCGACCAAGCCTTGCGCTTTGCTCGAAACACAAATGCAACTGTCATGAAACAAGTGGCAGTTGCGTTGTTGAGGTACATGGTCGTGTCCAAGCAAGTCAACCATCGGCGGCTGCGAATCGCTCGTGAGCTACTTGTGGCTTGCACCACCCACGATACCTGCTCAAGTATGGACCAAGACGTGTCGCTGCTCAAACAAGTGTCTTTACTGTGCATGATAAACGATCATACGGCCGACCAGTCGGATGCGCGCGACGAGCTGATTCACACCTATGTGCCTTGGCGGGTAATAGTCGAATGCATCTGAACCAATCGACGATGAATAATACTTTGTGTAGATATACGAGAATTGGTACCGTGGAGCAGCCATAACGCTCAACGCGTCAGTCATCCCGCTTGCACTATCGTACACCATGGCACAACAGCTCTCGTCGGTTCACGAACACGTTCCAAGTGCCTCCAAGCAGCTCGTTTCGTATTTGGTTGAAGTCCAAGCACCGCAACTTACTCTGTCGGTACTCTTGAACACAACGCATGTTCCAGAGGATACATTCGAGGTACACCGTAGATATTAGGTTTATGTTTGACGTTTCTGTAGGTGTTGGCCCAACAGCAAGACCTCATGTTGTCACAGATCTTGTATTCCCACCAAATCGATCGTGACTTGGCATTGGGGTATGTGCTTGGAAGCAGACTATGGACCTCGGACTCTAGCTTTTTGTATTGCCACTAGGTACATGCTCAGTATGGACCAGCAAACTGCCTTTTCAGCGCTAAACAAACGCCTTGTGCGCGAAAACGTATACAATGACTTTGCCCGGTTGCAGCAGGTGATATTGCATTCCAAGATCATTTTCTTCTGAAAGGTTTCTGTAGTTGGCCCATCTCGGGTCTCAAGTCGCCCGGACGTGGCAGCAAATTGGGTTTTTGCACATTTGCACTGAGCTCGAGGTCAATTCCAAGTGGTGGCATCATTTGAACTTGTTGGGGATCACTTGCGACCATAAAGTATGGCACCTTCAGTCTTCGTCGCAGCACAGTTAATCGTATTTAGGCTTTTCGAAGCGACCGCCGCGACCAAAAAGCAATCCAAGCTGTTGTTCCGCAACTGCTGGAAGCCACCAGTTTGGATTTGTACTGCGCGTTGGAGTTTACGCGGCAATACAATATTCCGGACAGCGTCCCGTGCTTGCTCTACGTAAAGGCATTGCTTTTGTCGTCGAACGATTATACGAGTCGAATTGTCGGTGTGTTGGAAGATGTACACGAGCATGAGGTGAGTGAATCGTTCAATAACCCCTTGGAATATAGTGATAAAATACCAACGAGCTACGTAGCTCATTCCATTGTTGCTGAGCATCCTGCCAAAGCTAGACGGGACAGACTATGATCGGCTCTTGTTTGTGTTCAACTTGCTCCAGAAAACAACCTACACCGAACAAGACGAAGTTCAAAATCATATCCAAGTGCTGCATTTCTTGAAACATTTTACCCCAAAGTTATCATTTCACGCCATAATGTCCGACCCGTGGAGCGTACTCGAAGCCCAGTTGACAGCCGCCACAGTGGTTTGGCTGCATTTTCGATTGAATTGTCCAATTCAACCATGCCAACGTAGGGGCAACTGGTATCCCTCTGCTCTCCGCTCGACATCGACGCAGACGAAATGTACATGCGACTGATCAAGAATATGATTGAAGGCGACATATCGTCGCTGTCTTTCGAGTTGTTCCGAGGAATTTTGAACAATTTCAGCGTGCTCAACCACAAGGTACTCCTTTTAGCCCATCTAGGAAATTTTTAACGCTTTTGCGATGCAGATTACGACGGCGGAGTGGCTGAGTAAGAAAATCTGTCATGCGTCATTCGCCATCCCAGCCATCGAATTCGCCCTCGAAATTAGTTTGTCACAGCCTGATCATCCCAAAACAACACGACTCCAGCAAACGTTGCTACAGTTGAAGACGGAAGAAATCTGGAATGCCATGAGCCAGGAATTTGACGGAGCTCCTCTCCCGGAGACGCCCCTTGACCCGAAAAAGCTCATAGAGGCCATCTATTTCAAGTATGGACAACAAGCGTGGTCCATCCAATCGAGCACGGTACACGACAATGCGGCCAAAATTGCGGCGTTGCACAACGCACCCTTGTCAAAAATACAGCTGGATATCCGATGGAAATGGCTGACTGCTCGGCATCAAAAACCTCCACAGAGTGTGTGGAGATACGACGTGGATGACGAGGAGCGAACTCGACTCGATCGGCTCCTGTACATCAGTTGGACGCACGACGTACAAGTTGTGCTGCAAGAACTAGTGAAGTATGCTTGCGACCCTATTCCTCGCGCTGGTTTGACGTACCGCGTCAAGTATCGGGCGTTGCAAGTCGTGGAATCTATTGCGCAGTCGTTGCAATTCCAAGCGGATACGTTCCTCCCAGGTTCCATGTCCGTATCCCTGACAGAGCTCAAGCAGGTAACATTCTATGGTTGGAGGAGTTTACGCTCACGGGTCGCTTTAGTCATGTCGGCTGCTTGTGTTGTTTGAAGAACTACAATATCCCCACGCTCTGGCGTCGTTCCTAAAGTGCGACAAAGAGAGCCTTGTGCGCGGGCTGTGGCGCGAACACTACCAAGACCCCGCGGTGTTGGTGCTTATCAGCGAACTCATGGTGGCATACTCGATTGCAAACGAATCCCTATGGCATCGTGTACTTGACCAAATGGTGACACTGTCCATGTTTCCGACGATATTTCACCTACTTCGAGTACTTGTGCGGCAATTCCCCAGCGTGGTAAAGCTTTCTCCTCCTTTTATTGACTCTTGTGATCAACGCGATCAAAACGACAGGATTTGAAGCCGTTTTTTGAACAAGCCATCATGTGGCCGCTTCAAACTCTCGACCGCGACGTTCCCCCGGCACATGTTGACCGCGTTCTCCAGGATATAGTGTTCCTTATCCAGCAGTGCCCCTTCATCGATAGTCTCAAGATTGCGGAAATTGTACACCTGCTACACACGCTGTCCATCCAGCTACCAGACATTCGAAACCTCGCTCATTATGCTGTTCAATGTGCCTTTGGTATCCCCCAAGTCACGACTCGCACGACCCTGCTGTGTCAACTTTGCGAATCCAAGGTCTCCTACGTCGAACCGATTTTTGACTACTTAGCCAACTTGTCGCCATTGGAAGTCATCGACGCGGATTTCTTCGTCAATTACATTTTGGAGCATCCCAAAGCCCAAGAAACGCTGATCCAGTCACGGCATGGCCAAGCGTACTGCGAGACGGTCGCACGACTGGCAGATACGACAGCAATGGACCACGCCCTTGCATTCTTGTACGAGTACCAACTTCCGTGTTTGTCACCTAAGCGAGGTTGCTGTAGACTTCAGCATCACCGCTTGGATGATGCGAACGAAATGATTGCCCGGCATTTGCGTCAATTCCCGCAGAAAAAGCTCCAAGAAGCGCTAACGCCACTTCAAGACTACCTGCTTCAAACTACGTCTCCCACCCTGGCTCCATTTCAGATGCCATCTGTGAACGATGCCAACTCGCAATGAGAGATCAAATACACTGACCTCACTGCCTCAACACCGAACGTCATCTCAGTCTACTCATCTTTACGTTTGAAGTTTGCCCAGTTGCACAGCGAGATCCTATCAATGAACCTGAGTTCTACGTTAATCCGAGCTGAAGCACTATCATCCACATGTCACTCTGCATGACGACTGTAGCGATTACATTGTCTGTAGCCACGACCCTTGCGGAAGCCCACGTGTGATTTGATGGAGGACCAACCCTCCTGTGCGGCCACTTGAGGGGACGAATGCGACCTGGGCAATCGAACGATCGCAACGTTCACTCAATTCACAACAAGGTCGTGTCAAATCACGGTATCGTCACTTCATCTCGTCGTCGATGGCTTTACGCATCCTCCAAACTCAACGTGCTCCATCGCAGTGTCTTGAGAGCAACGAGGTTGGGCGAGGGGAACTGGTTCTTGCCACATGAATATTTGCACGTGGCGCCCGTCGAGCACAGGTTGCCGCACGCTGCCCTGCACCGGAGGTCCGGCCTTCGTCGCACAACGTCGTTCATGATGGAAGTTCGTATACATACATGCATCTTATTCAGAGCGAGGACATGTCACTAAATTCTCCCTTGTTAGCTTCATTTGATTGGCTAATTTTGGGAAGACTTGACGTTGATTTGTCCAGATAGTGACACTCACGAGAATCGTCCCATGGACAACACTTACGAGAGCTGGGGTCAGCGGGCCGACGAGTTTGAGAACGGCACTGTGTGCATCGGCATAGACCTGGGCACGACCAACTCGTGTACGATGGGTTCTTTGTTGCTCTAATGCCGTGCGCATGATGGTCGCTGAGTGCATCCTGTAGGTGTGGGGTACTGGAAGGAAGGCGCGAATTTCGCCAAGATCGTCAATCATGTTGGAAAGGACGGCAAGCACAAGACCGTTCCGTCCGTCGTGAGCTTTCCTCCGCAAGGCAATCCATTTGTTGGGTTCGACGCTGTTGAGCACGAACAGAAGTTGGAGCCAGACACCGTGACGATTCGCAGTGCCAAGCGGTTGATGGGCAAGACATTAGCCGAAGTTGGCGACGAACAAAAGTACTTGTCATATTCACTTTGCGACGACGGCGACCACGTGGCCATTGACCTACCGTCAAAGAAGACGGTCGTGGCACCCAGCGAGGTGTCTGCCATCTTACTCAAATACATCAAAGACACAACGGAAGAAAAACTCGGCCACCAAGTGGTCAACTGCGTGCTAACCGTACCAGCGCACTTCAATGAGTCCCAGCGGCAGGCGACGCTCAAAGCCGCCGCGATGGCTGGCTTTCAGGGCATTCGCCTGCTCAACGAACCGACGGCGGCAGCAATGGCGTACGGTCTCTTCATTGCAGTGAGTGTGCTGTCGTCTCGAGTGCGACATTGACTTGAGTTCCAGGGCAAAAAACGCGTTGCAATTTTTGATTTTGGAGGTGGCACTCTAGACGTATCGATCCTGTCGATCGACAGCGGCAAGTTTGCCGTCGACGGCGTCGGGTAAGCCCACTGCCCCTGTGTCCAGCGCGGGCAATTATTGTTCTCGAGTAGTGGTAACACTCACTTGGGTGGCGAAGACATCAACCACGTGCTATACGACTACATGCTCGAATCAATTCAAAACCAAAATGGCGGGACACCGCTGACTCTGGATCGGACCGCCATCATTCAACTCCAGCAGGCCGCCGAACACGCCAAAGTCACACTGTCCAGCCAAAAAGAAGTGTCCATCTACCTCGACGACATTGGCGGCGTCAAGTCGCACAAGCTCAAGCTAACACGGTCCAAGTTTGAGAGCTTGTGCGATCCGTTGTTGACCAGGTACCGTCGTAGGTGTCAACAAAGTGACGTGCCCTGTTCGGCCTTGATTTGATGACGAAAAACCATTGCTCTAGATGCATTGACATTACACTAAACGTACTCGCAAGCATCGATTTGACCCCCAACGACATTGACGAAGTCGTTCTGGTACAGATACGCTCATCGACCTGTTGCAATGCGCGTTCAATCTTCTTAGCGCCGTCAACTAGGTTGGCGGGTCCACTCGCATCCCAGCCCTTCGCAATAAACTCTCGGCGCTCTTCAATGGAAAAGTAAGCTGTCGACTTGGGGCACGTTCTTTCTTCATCAGCCCAATCAATGTGCGTGTCTGCGCAGGAAATGTGCACGTCTATGAATGCAGATGAAGTCGTCGCTTCGGGGGCGGCGATCCAAGCGGCAATTCTGAGCGGTGTCAACAAGCGAGTGCTGCAGGTATGGGTTGCTCGTGGCCGTGCGTGTGGATAATGCTGCTGCTGTATGCACACCGACCATCCGTCAATAGGATGTCCTTATGCTGGATGTGATCCCATTGAGTATTGGAATTGAAAAGGCGGACGGTACGATGGAAGTCCTCATCCCCAAGAACTCGCGAATCCCCATTGCCGTCACCAAGCACTTTGAAACCCTTGACGATGATCAACGAGGCATCACGGTCGAAGTACGTCCACCTTCTCAGCCGCACTGGTCGATTTGACTTGGTCGCTGTGCAGGTGTTTGAGGGGGAGAAGCCCGTAGCCCGCGACAACGTGTTCCTGACCTACTTCAATTTCACGCTGCCACGTCACAAGGCAGGCAAAGCTGGCGAGTTCCAGCACGCGGTGACGCTGAGCATGGACGCAAATGGCATCCTCCAAGTCAAGGCCGGCGCGCAACACGATATCGACGACAACGAAGTGGCCATTTCAAATCGGTGGATCGCCGCTCTCACCTTGTACATGTCGTTCATGGCAGCCGTGTACGTGTTTGCACGGGTGTATTTTGCTACCGACCGCCACGAGTTTATGGACCGCTTCAACGCGGCAGCAGCCGCCATCGACGAATTGTAAGAATGACTTTCGACTTTACTATACACGTGGGGACGAGTTTTGTATGGCCCGAATTGCGGCTGCAAGCTGCCGCGTTTTGGGCTCGCTCAGGAGGCTGTGATTGGGGTCGAACTGTGGCCAACACAAGCGCAGCATCCCTGCCGCTGCCGGGGCGGTGTTGTACCTGTCGTCCTGGCAAGGTGGCAACCCGTATGGTACCATTACTCGATGGGAGTAAACCGTCATCCATCTTTGGATCGTCCACCTACATAGTTGGGAAGTACCCTTAGGGGATGGCTGGCTGGTAGATGGGGTCTAGTGCAGACGCGACGAATGAGGTCGTGTCCTTGAGTGCTGACGACGGCGACCGGCCACGCAACACACCAGCCACACGCGGTCGAGGCCGCGCCGCGTGGGGCTGGCCCTCTCTCGCTCTGCAACTGCCGCATGATCCAGTTCGATGTGGCTCAAAATTCGACCAAAATTGTCCAAAATTCGTATGGTTTTCATCGATTTTCACGAAGGTGGGCTTGGTTTTGCCCAATATCCCACCAAGTGTTGACGAAACCCGATGTCCAAAAGAAGGATCTTGGAATTTCTATGGCTTGACGACACGAACCAGATCAAATGCCTCTCTTCCGCTGCATCTCACGGGTCCCTCCCATTCGGCGACTTGCTGGCTTGGTCGACCCAGCACCCATCACGACAAGCAGCCATGCAGAATTCCATTCCCGCTCCAGGCGCCGACCAACCAGCCACTTTGTACGTTTAAGAGATCTCGTCGCTCATCGCCCTCTGACGTGTGCCATCCATCTTGTTTCCTCCAGTGAAACTGCCTACGTCGACGCACCGGATGTGGCGCTCCAACCCCTAGGCCGCCGCGTGTTGACCACGGCCCAAGTCGTCGCGCTTTGCTTCTTCAGCGTGTGCGGTGGCGCAATGGGGTCGGAGGGGATTTTTGGGGCTGGTGGCCCGGCGCTGGGTCTAATTGCGTTGGCGGTCTTTCCCTTTGCGTGGTGCGTTCCGATCTCGCTCGTCCTAGCCGAACTCTGCACAATGTACCCCGATAATGGTGTGTTGGATCGACCGCGTCTCGCGATCTAATGCTGATTTCAGGCGGGTATACGCTGTGGGTCTACCATGCCTTCGGGCCGTTCTGGGGCTTCCAAGAAGGATTTTGGGCTTGGTTGTCGGGCGCGATCGACAACGCCGTGTACCCGGCGCTGGCTGTCACGGCGCTGAGCAAGTACATTCCGCAAGTGGCCGACAACACGGTTGGCACGTGGTTTCTCAAAGGCGCGTTCGCCCTCGTGTTTGCTCTGCCCAACCTCCTTGGCGTCCAGCTCGTCGGCCGCGGCATGGTCATCTTGACTGCAGTCGTCACGCTTCCGTTCATGATTTTCTCCGTGTGGAGCTTTGCGACGGCGGATGACTGGGGCGCGCTCGGCCAATTCCGGTTTCGCGACACTGAGTTATCCAACTCGACCGAGTACATCACCACGGGCGGCCTCGCAGTTCAGTGGGATGTTCTCATGGGAACGATCTTTTGGAGCTTCAACGGCTTTGCGAGCGTGTCCACATTTGCTGGCGAGGTCGCCAACCCTGGCAAGACGTACCCCAAGGCGCTAGCGATCACGATCCTGTTTGTTGAACTCACCTACTTGATCCCGTTGGTTGCCGGCGCCGTGTTCAACGAGCCGTTGTGGCATACTTGGACAGAAATTAGTTTCAGCGACCTTGGGCTTGCCGTTGGGGGCGACGCCCTCTTGGGCCTCATCACCGTCGCGACCATTGCAAGCACGTGGGGCATGTACAGCAGCGAACTGTTCTGGGTCTCGTTTCAACTCACGGGGATGGCCGAAGCGGGGCTAGCCCCTGCTGTCTTTGCGAAGCGAGGCAAGCGAACGGATGTCCCGTACGTGTCCGTGGCGCTGTCCGGGGCCATCATCGTGGTCCTGATGGGGTTGGATTTCTCGGAAGTTCTCTTGATGGCCAACGTGCTGTCCGCCATGAGCCAAATTCTCCTGATTGTGTCAGGAATCAAGCTCCGCGTGACCCAGCCGGACGTTGCCCGCCCGTACAAAGTCCCTGGTGGGCTCACAACGTTGGTGGCTATCAGTATTCTTCCAACCGCGGTTTGTGGGTACTTGGTCTACAACACGTTCTCGTCGGAATCCACCATCACCCCCGTCGTGCTTGTCCCGACTGTAATCGTCGTCGGCTTCGTCTACGCTTGGCTGATGAAGCTGACGGCAAAGAACTTTATTGCACCAAAAGCAGCCGTGACCTTGTACGAGTTGGAGTAGCACCGTGTCAACATTCAAAGTATTTAATGTTCAACACCACTTGTGCGTATTGGAATTGGATGCCGAGGGCACACGACCCGCACGCGCGGCGTACAGGGCCTGACCTATCGACTGGGCAGGTCCCAACATTTTCTGCGATGTACACCATGTGCAGGATTGGCATGACAACGTCACGCCTTCTAGCCTGGCGCATTGCAGGTGACGGGAGTATGGTTGTAGCTGCGACGATGTCTAGGTTCATGGTGCTTGCATTTGGATTTGAATCATCAAGTCGATGAAGATGAGCTGCCGGCATGCCTCGAGTTGTGCTCCATGTACAATCTCGGGAGTGTGGAGTGTATCACCTGTCGAAGTTCAAAGAGCACTCTCTAGGGCTGGTATCGAGGTCCATTCCACACCGCATCATGTTCACGTCGGCTGCAGTCTCTATGCTAGTCGTTGCGACTCGTCCGTCATGAACTCTGCCGACCGTTCGACCTTCGTGAGCTGGGGCTTGAGTTGAAGCGCATAAAATACGCCGAATACAAGGATGAGCGGCATGATGAACTTAATTGACGACGACGGCGCCGAGCGTGCTTCAACAAGGGATGTGTAGACCAAATACGATGCGACACACACTGGAAGCACACTCAGGCCTGCCAACACCCCCACGGAGCCAGGCACTCGGAATGGTCGATGGACTTGAGGCATGGAAACCCGCAGGTGGATGGCTGCAAAGATTAGAAGCACTTGGTACATGGCCGAGATGACGTTCGCAGTCGTCATGACGTCGTCGATGTCCAGGCCGACAAGCACAAGCACCAAGCCATACGACAGAGCGATCGATGCAAAAGGCACGTCACCAGGGGATTTCCAACGCGCCGCAAAACAGGCCGGCGCCAACCCTGACTCGGCCATGCCAGTGAGTTGAAAGGACACGCACAACATCTCGCTGGTAAATTGGCCCCAGTTGCTCGCCAGGGTCGACGCCGTCACGAAGGTGAGCAGGCCATTGCCGCCAAGGGAATATGCCAGGTCGCTGAAGCTGATCTCGGTCCACGACCACCAGGGAGGTGAGTTGTACACGGCACCGGCGGCCAGCGGCAGCACGTACGACAGTTCGAGGGCAACCAATGTCATGAGCAGCGCCTTGGGGTATACCTTACCGGGGCTCGCAACCTCGCCGGCAAATGTCGACACATTTGCAAATCCATTGCAGTTCCAAAACACAGTGGTCAGGAGCAAACTCCACTCAATTGCCACGTCATGGCCAGGCGACTGGCCGCCACGCGATGCGTTGAATGGCGTGTCGGTATACCGCACTTGACCGAGGTTACTCCAATCGGCTGCGTTCGCAAACCCAAGCACAGTTAGCGCCACGAACGGGAGCAACATAGCTATCGAGAGGAAGACCATGCCCCGCCCAACCACTTGAATGCCGAGGACGTTGGGCAGGGTAAAGAGCGAGGCAATCGCTACCTTGATGACCCAAGTTTCGGAGGCGCTGATGTCGCTCAACTGAGGAATGAATTTCTCCATGCAAGTCACAGCCAGCGCTGGGTACAGCGCCGTGTCGATCGCCCCCGACAACCAAAACCACAGCCCCTCTTGAAATGCCCAGAACGGCCCAAACGCGTGGTTTACCCACAAGGTGAAGCCACCTGCGTGGCCACCACAATCAAATACATGCAGTGGATCCATTGAACGAGGGGCGATGTACCATTTTCGGGGAAGGCTGTGCTGAGCTCGGCGGTAATGAGTGCAATTGGAACGCACCACACCAATGGAAAGAGGCAGAGGGCGACGAGTCCAACGGCGGGACCGCCTGCAGCAAACACTGGCTCAGATCCAATTGGCCCGCCGCTGACGTTGAAGAAGCAAAGTGCAGTCACTGCATACATCGTCACTACACGGCGGTCGACACGTGTAGTTCGGCTGTCATGGTGGGCATCCAGCACTGATCCGTTTGCATCCCTGCTCGGATTCCATGACCACTTCATTCAATTGGTGCAGCTTAGCTTGTGAGATAGAGCCACTTACGATAGGATTGGAGCTGCTTCAGAGCGCTGGCTTGGCGACAACCTGTCATCGCCATACATCACTGCCCCGCTTCGTTTCGCCGACCCACACAGACGACAGTGGCCGCCACTACAACAAAGGTACAGTACATTCCCCATACATCCTAGTACACCTCAAAGTATTGCATGTGGATCGATCGACGAATGTATGTACTATTTGTACGAAACGAAATGTTCGAAAGGTCACAGTGGCACCGCCACACAACAAGTGGTTGGAATGCCAGCGTCCCCAATGCATATCTTGTTGCTGGAGCTCTTATTGCATGAATGAACTATGTGGGCACTTTGTGGCCTTGCGTCAAAGCCGGTCGCATGCCCTTATCAACACTCTGAAGCAGACTAGACCCGTTGTAGTTGGAATGTCGGCGCGGACTTGACCTGTGTCCCCACGATTTCCAAACTGGCCTCCTTTGGTCGATTGTTCCTTGCCAGTCCTACGGACGGGATGCCAATTGCTTCAAGGTTGAAAGTACATTTGGATATCTTACCATGCATTGACAATGGAGGAGGACGGATGATGCCCACGACTGGAGGCGGAGGAGGGGGCACCCCTCGCGGTGTCGTCAGTCGGTGGCGGTACAATTTCGGGGGGCTGTCATCCGATACCAATTTCATCGATGGGCGTGAATTGAGCGGTTGCGTTAGAGGTGGCGGGGGCGGCAGCTGAAAGCTGGACCGCGGAGCAACTTTGGGGTCGAATTGTTGTAGCTGTGGTAGTTGACTAAGAGGTGATAAAAATGGTTCATTTGGGACTCACTCGAATATCGTAGCGAGGTAAGTCCATCGCCGTCTTCACTCCTGGCTTCTCTTTGTATCGTAGTGCAGCTTGCAATGCCCGAAGCTACACGCCCACTTCAACTCTGTGGCTGCAGGGTTCCATCAAAAACCTGAACGATGGCTTTGGCGTCCATGTTCGAGTCTGTTGTCATGATCTTCTTTGATTTGACGAGCAATTTCACATCCGTATCGGTAGTCTAGCTGTCCATGTCACTACGTGCAGGTATATTCACGTTCGCGCCCACCGAGATCGAGTCGCTTTCCGAGGGACGGACGAGAACGTTGTGGTGAGCGCGAAGAGCTGCCTTCGCGATCTCGGCGTGACTTGCCACGGTAAAGTACCTGGATCACACCGACCGTTTACCAGACGACTCATTTCGAGGCACAGCATACTCGTGACCACGTTCGACATAGTGCTCAACGTAGCGGTGCAAGCCCGGGAAATGCAAGATTTCTTGAATCGCGGGGCGGTCGTCGGGGCTCCAATTTGTTGCCAGCTCAGTCGTGCGCCATTGAATCCGAACCTTACCATTGGGACAACATGGCCGACACCAAACGACCGAGCTGTGGCGAGCGTGAGCGACATTCGTCCCTCGCAGAGTCTCCGCGTACCGCCGGTCGAATCGTTTGTGGTAAGGCAGCGTACGCGCCGGACGTGATGCGCGTCACGAGCGCTGGGTACGAGCTCGCCTTGAACGGACATCGGCCCGTGAGCAGTTCGTACAGAATGCACCCGAGGGCCCAAATGTCTGCCTTGAAGTCATAAGGCTAAGCAAGATGGTGTGGTGGGCAGGTAACCCACCAGGATAGTCAGGTTTGTCCAGAATGAGCCAAACTCGAAGCGCAATCCTACCTTGCCTTCAAAGATCTCAGGGCACATGTACGCCGGTGACCCGACGAGTGTCTGCGCGAGGCCGTTGGACAAGTCCAAGCACTTGGATATACCAAAGTCGCCGACCACAACCCGGCCATTTTCAAACACAAACACGTTCTTGGGCTTGAGGTCCCGGTGGAGCACGTGGCAGCTATGCATGTGGTGCAGCGCCATCGCAATCTACACCGACACGCAATCGTGACTGGGTTGCTTCGTTTTCCCAACGCAGTGAATCGATCCCGGGGGGCTGTTATCCACCTGAACAAAAATTGGCAGCACGACCGCCTCGTCGCCTCCATCGTGGTGGTGGTGGTCGTACAACCATTCGGCCAGATCCTTCCCATCGCAGAACTCCATTTCAATCGCAAGCAGTGCGCCTTTTCGGTCCAAGAACGCGCTGTGGTACGCAACAATGTTTGGATGCACGAGGCGCTCGCACACGCGCACTTCATTCCAGCACGCCGCCCTGCGCAGCCACGATCCCATGAGCCCAAGGAATTGTACTTGCCAGATATACTTTTGTTCCGTCGTGAGGTGGCTTAAGTCGATATGCTTGACACACACAATTTCGTTGTCGCGTCTGCGATTGCACAAAAAGATCTACATCCCACCAGCTGCCGTGACGTCACAACTCCGGCAAGGGCATGCCTCGGCCCACATGCAGAGGACGTACGTCGCCGTATGTGCCACTCCCGAGCTGGCGAATCTCCTCGTAGTCACTCAAGCTGCCGCTGGTCGATACGGTCGACTGCGCTGGCGGTGAAGCCATCCGTGGTGCTCCAATTTTCACGTTGGAATGCACACACGACTGCCAGGCGTTTCTCGTTTAACACGACCCACGCAAGAAACGGTTGCTCGCGCCAAACACTCTACGCCGATAGCATTGTCACATCCCGCCTTCTGCATCTGCACGACGACGCAGCCACCAACGTGTTTGGACGCTCCAGACGACGCGCCGGGTGTCGTCGCCCGCGGCAACCCATTATCGTCGTTCCCGTGGTGGATGCAACTATATCCTCCAGTATAGAAACGTCAAGTGCCAGAGGGATATTTGCCTGGGAAAAACCTATCCACTCTCCCATTCCACGAAATCCAACCGATCTCGTCCGATCCACGCATCGCGATTCCACGTTCCGTGGCGCAATGGAATGTCTAGCTCCACATGATGGTGTGGTTGGCAAAGATAATGTAGCGATGCGGAGCATGTTGTCCACCATCGTGGCGCGTATGATCAAGAACTTGGCATTGTGAAGATGGCAAGAATCGCTCTGGAATAGTAGTGTTCACTTGCCCCTCGCTCAACATGTACATCAAGAGAGTAGTGTATGGATTTAAGGGAAAATATATGCTTTGTCTAGGAATTAGGTTTGTCCCGCAGTCGGCACAGCGGGATGAGCGCACAACGACAGTTGTTCCGCCACGGTCGCGACCTCGACAGCCTCATTCGACAGCCTTCCTCCGACGTGCATGTCGTCTGCGTGCGGCGGATCATCCTCAACAGCGTGCATTTTGCGCGACATCCATGCCGAAGTCGTGGACGTTCACGTCGCTTCGTCTACATCGCCCGTCTACGTCGTGTTGGTCCTGCCGAAAGTTGGTCCATTTGTCCAAGCTCTAGGCACGTTGCCGTCGCACACCGTCGCCCGAACGTACTCGGAATGGCGCCAGCTTTACAAGACGCTGCTGAATGTATCCAACAGCACTCGTCGAACGGCGTGCACGTGTGTGCTCGGTTCATGCCCGTTCTGGACCATGCATCTTATCGTGCAGTCGATTCCGTTTCCTCGAAAAGAGCTCTTTCGATGGCGACGTTCCCCCGACCTCCTGCAAGCCCGAAAACGCGCCCTCGCCCATTTTGTCACGACCGTGGTGGCCAAACTTCAGATCTACCGCCCTGAAATCTTCGACAGTTCCCGCACGTTCTCCGCATCCAGTGCAAGCAACCAGAGCTGCTGTCGGTTCCTCCGAACGTTGGAAACGTTCTTGGGCCTCGACGACGATGCAATTGTTCGCCAGTTTACAAGCGTGAGCCACAAGAGCCGCCTCCAGCTCACGCTCGAAGGGTGGCACTCGCACCGACGGAACTTGTTCTGTTTGAGCGCTTCCGCCTGACCAGCCAAACTTATTTATCGTCGCAATCGTGCAAGCCCTTTGCCTCTTAAATTGTCTCCAAGCCCCAAGACAGTGTACTTGGCAGATTGAGTCTCGGGGCAGCCCTCGATCGGCCACACACAGCCACTGCGACGCACCTGTTCTCGGCGATGCCTACTCATTGCCTCGATCTCGTCATCTACTTGCACAAAAGCGTAAACCATGTATAACCCACACTTCCCTGCAGCCGGGTGATGGCCCATCGAACTCTGCCATTCCTGCTACCTCTGTCGCCATGCACTACGTTCGTAGATGACGCTCCAACTTGGCAGAGCGCTCTCAAGGTCGAGAAAGGTTGGTGCACTGAGAACTGGCACAACATGCACGCCGCGCGATTCCGAGATCGCTTGGAGCATTCATCACGTTGTGGAGCGAGGCGAGAATCGTGTTGTACGCCGTGGTTATATCTATGCCCGATGCGCCATCTTCGTCTCACAGCAACGCGCGGAGGAAGATGGTTTCTTGGATCCGTTTTAGTTCGCGCGTGATCAGCTTGGCGTGGAACGGTTCGACTTCCAGGATGATGTAGCTGTGCTGCGAGTTGGACTGGAGGAACTGCGCGCTCACGTTGATGCCGTAGTCGCTCAAGACCGAGTGAATCTTGCTCAGGACGCCAGGAACGTTGTGGTGCATGTGTAAAATCCGAATATTGCCCGACGACATCAGGCCCAGGTCGACTTCAGGGATGTTTGTCGCTGTCGTGCTCGTCCCCTCGTTCAAGAATCGCACCTACATCAGCATGTTGCAAGCGATCTCTCCCATGAGACGGCAACGAAATCGAGCACGGACCAGCTTGGACGCGACTTCGACTGCAATGTTCCCCTGCGCTTCCTCCGTGCTCCCACCAATATGCGGCGTCAAAATCACGTTGGTCAGGCCTTGAAGCGGCGTCGAGAACGGTTCGCCGTTCTTTGCGGGCTCCACCGGGAACACATCCACTGCTGCCTATTCGTGGACACAAGCATCCACGGTTTGAGCAAGAAAAAACGAGGGCGAGCGCTGCGGTGTATACCCCGCTGAGATGGCCAGACTTGAGGGCCTCGGCGAGGGCTTGCAAGTCGACGACGGTGCCGCGAGCGTTGTTGATGACAAAGCTGCCGGGCTTCATCAACTTGATGGTGTCGGCATTGATCATGTTTCTCGTGTCGTTGGTGGCTGGCACGTGGAGTGTGACAGCGTCGGCCACAGACAAGAGCTCTTGCAACGAGTCCAGTTGCGTGGCGTTACCGAGGGGCAAACACTTAAGGGGGTCGTAAAACACGACCTTCATCCCCAAGAGCTCTGCGAGCACCGACACCTGCGACCCAATGCGCCCATACCTACAACGGAATCAACGGTCACGATGACGACTCCGTACAATGCATGGTCGTGTGCACGAACCCAACGATCCCAAGGGTCGTTCCGCGCACTTCGTGGGCGCCAGTGGCCGACTTTTTCCACACGCCAGCATGCAGGTCCGTCGATCGTTCAAACAACTTGCGCTGCAACGCAATGATTTCGCCAAGCGTCTTCTCCGCGACACTGCGTGTGTTGGAAAACGGTGCGTTGAAGACTGGAACGCCAAACTTGGCGGCACTCGCGAGGTCCACTTGGTTCGTGCCAATGCAAAAGCATCCCACGGCCCAAAGTCGATGCTTGTGCCACCCGATCGAGTCGAAGAACGATCGGTCGAGCTGTGTCTTGGAACGAATGCCCAGGATGTTGGCGTCTCCAGCCACATCGATGAGCTCCTGACCAGACAATGCACCCTTGTACGTCTCTATCGTGTACCCTTCGTTCTCGAAGATCTCAATCGCACGCGGGTGGATGTTTTCCAGCAGCACGACCTTGACCTTTTTGAGCGGAAAACTCGTGGGGCGCTCCAGGTACGTCGAGAACATGGCGCGGGCCACGGGGACCTTGGACAGCAGCTTGAGCGCCGACGGTCGTCGGTGTATTATGCGATGCAAGCTGGCCATGGATATCGCCTGAAGTTTCGCAAATGAGCCATGCCACCACGCGCATCTTGATCGCACCACAAGAAATATATCTTGGGACTCCAATTCAATCAAGTACGATGACGTTGGAGGATAGCAAAATCGCTGGATGTATGTATATCCATCAAGAGTAAATAATTACGGATTATTTGTATAATCCATTATTGTATATCTGATACAAGTAAAAGTCTTCGGAGTATGTTACTGAGGGGAGGTCCATCAAAATACCCGGTATTTCAAGTCAAATACCTTCAATGTGGTCTGTACATTTTAAAGTGCGAGCGCACTTGAGCCGTTCTGGTTAGTCAACACTTGGTGGAATTGATGCCGCTTACATCGCCGCAGTAGCCGTTCATGTTGACCGTGAAGCAGGGCCTAGCACAACGCTTGGTGGGCACTCGCCCGCCCCATCTTCCGGAACGTGTGCTTGAAATGCGCGGTCGAGACGTGCAGTCGCACCACAAGCCCCACTCTTTAACTTGAAGGGAACTCCCCTCCCCCCGAATGCACATCTGTTTCATCGAATTATCCGGCCATGTCCCATGGATGCACCAACAAACTGAAGCTGTCTTGGCAAGGAAGGCGACGTTCGGCTAACGCCTCTTCATTCAAGCACTTTGGGGTATTGAGGTCATGCCCCCGGCCTGAGCGACAATCCGTTGAAAGCTAGGTGATGCCCTTCAGCGTGGCATGGCAATGCACACACACAACAACCGCAATGACAAGCACAGCACGAGTTCACCACAAGGCATTGGCCATTGTTCAATGGTTTCGTCCTGCAATTGCTAGCAGCCTGCGAGGTGGTTTGCCAACCGTCTCAAAATAGGTTCAACCGACATAGACGGTTGGTTATGAGAGAGCAAAACGCTCAGCGTCGGCACGGGTGGCCGACCTCATTCAGCAACCTTGTCCACGTGCCGAACACCCATCGACTCACCCCTCGCAAATTTTCATCATGCTTGCTGCGGGCCGTCACCGTGACCAGATCATGACCAAGAGCATGTCACACAGTAGCGCCGACGGACGAGGCGACGAAGTCATTTTGTCCCACAGCGACTATCATGCCAACGAGCACAGTGAAGTCGAATGCAAAGGTTGCCGCTCGCTGCTTACTGAAAACCAGGTTCGCCGCGGCAGCCGCCCCAACTCGTTATTGATGTTGCGTAGCTGCTGAGGGACCTGCTGCTTCGCACGTCACCGGACGCCCAGCAAATCATCCACGCGTTCGATAAGCGCCTGGACAACCAACGACAGCGCTTGGAAGTTGCCGGGGGGTTGAAAATCAAGGGCCCCGTGACGAGCCCCAAGACCGTCACGGCCATCAAGGTCAAGCCGACAGGGGTATTGTCGCAATCGATCACACCAGAAGTGTTTCGAAAGCTATCGCATTCAGCGGCGGTGGAGCTGGTCAAAGTGCACCCGTCGTACAAGGAGCTGTACGACCTTGCAGCCAACCCAAACGGAACGCTCTTTGAACGCGTGCTGAGCTCGGACGTGTTTACAGAAGAGCAGAAGCGAAAGCAGCTCCAGCTGGCCCTCCTTCGCCAAAAAGAGCTCAACGACATGGATTCGCACCCGCGAATTGCCATCAAGTCGCCCAAGGCTGCTGGCGATGCCTCGCACATTTCGACAGCCAAATCTCCCCGGAACGGCGCGTCGTCCCCTCGACAGGCCACGTCGCTTAGCAGGTCTTTGGACTCACCCACGGACAACTACTTTACGCTGCACAACAATGTGGCGCTTCACAAGTCCTAACGAATCTGTGTCATGTTCTTGAAAGCTCCAACCTCTGTGCTATGAAATCGATTGAGCTTCAGCATACTCCTGCATGTGCCATAACCAGCACAATTGGATGGTTGCCAGCACGCGCAATTTGAATGAAATGTGTGGCGGTGAACGATGCTGTTTTCCGACTTCGTTCGCCGCGCCCATAGTTGCACGCATTGGGTCAGTCGCGACGGAGCCTTCGTCAAAACTGCTCTGTTATAAAGGTCGCGATCTGCACTTCTCGAATATATCCTTATGCCAACCTGCCCAAAAACGAGGCAGTCCTCGCTGCAAACACAAACCTCAACTTGGCAAGCAAACGTGGACAAGTAAATTATGTGGGGTGTCCATGTCATACAATAGCATGACTGTTGGCGGTCGAGGGCGGGCGCAATTCCCACGGCGACAAGGCGGCGGGAGGCAGATGCAGCAAGGCCGTTTTGTTGGTGGCTACGACTTGTTTGCTAGCACACACCATGTGCAGGCGCATGCCGCACACAACGAGGAAGGCGAGGCAGCCGAAGAAGGTCGAGATGACCATAAAGGCGACGATGATGCGGTCGTCTTGGAGCATGTAGAGTTGTGCTGCCGGTCGCGCGATGAGCACGATGGGCTAAATATGGACACCACTGGGCTGAAGTTGAGGAGAGAGGCGCCGTTTCTTCCAAAATCGAAAACCCCCCCACATGCTTTTGTGCATCTCAACAATGACTGATGAGGCCAGACTTAGACGGCAAGTGACAAGGTCGGTGAGGGACCCGGACGGAGCTCGTCAACGAAAGGAGTTTCTTCTGTCGTGTGTGGGCTGGACGTGGCTACTGTCGAGCTGGGCGGCAACGGCACAGGGGCAATCGCCTTGCTCTGTTTGTAGACGAGGTATCGGGAAAACAGCAAAACAGCATATGACAGCCCCATGAGGATCCACGATACTAGCAGCCCCACCACGATGAAAGCGTGATTGCCTTCATCGTCTCCCCCCATCGTGCTCTTGACGCCCACGCCAAAATGACTTTGGCCCTATAGCACCCCGCGGCTGCAGGATGCCATATGCCGAAAACGACGTGGCAGAGAGGGGACCTTGTCCCAGTACAAACAATCAACATCTCACGGCACGTCCAACCACAGCGATCGCCTCCATGATGAGGAGCAATGATGACCCTTTATGGTCGCTATTCAATCGGCTGCAGTCGGAGGGGCGGAAGCGAGTGGACTTACGTGGCGACGACCCGCAACTTCGAGCATCGCCTGGCATCCAGCGCAGCAATATTGGGACAAAGGTACAGGTGCTCGATCGACCCCTGCGGGACAATTGCGGGGTAGGGAGTGATGTAGAATCGAGCACACATCCACGACGACAAGTTGCAAACGAGATGGGTTTGTGTTAGGCTGGACCGTTGTTGTCGCGATCGCCACTGCTGGAGGTGGCCTTTACGGCCGTGACGAGCCCGAGCAACTGTTTTTGTTGCTCCACAAGGATTTGCACGAGCTGCCGTTCGAGTCCCTTCATCTCGTCTTCCTTTAACTTGTGCAGGCCTTGCAACTCCTGCTGTTTGGCTTCAATGCTTCGCACCTACAGCAGCAGTATATGCCGGTCCAGTTACGTGAAGCCTGGCGTTCGTCGTACCCTCGTTCGCTTGGTTTCTATCGTCTCGAGCATGGCTTCCATCTCGTGGTGCAACCGACGCTTTCGCGCGACCTGGGCTTGGTTGACATGACCTTCTTTCATGAGTTGAATCGACCCGATCTCTTCTTCCAGCGTCCCAAGTTCGGTCAGCGCCGATTGAACATCGTTCTCGCCGTCGGACTTGGTCTTGATGACTTCGGCGATTTGCGCTTGGAGCACGCCCAATTCGCTCGTGACAACATTGCTCGCACTTCGGTGGGCGACGAGCTCGTCCCGTTTGTAGTTCACCAGTGTGTCGTACACATTGCCATAGACCTACGGGCACGTTTCAGTTGCCTGAGCAAAGAGAGCGATGCAGGCGTACGAGCTCAAGTTTGGTGTTGGCCGCCTGCGCTCTGTCGAGGCGCTCGTTCATGTCACGCGTCGTCGCCTCAAACTTTTGCTGCCACTCTGCCACGTGCGCCCGTGCTTCCATGTCTTTCTACACGCGGTCGTCATGGTTTGGACCGTACACCAGCAACACGGCAGAAAACGCACCGAGTCGATTTCATCCTCCAAGTGCTGAATCTTGCGCATGCCAGAATTCAGCAGCATGACGTGGTGGAATACGTGCAGCTTCTTGAGGGCCGTGAGCTCTTCTTGCAGGTCGAATGATGCGTCTTCAGCTTCTTCCAGCGCTTGCTGGACGCTCTTGAGCTCTTGTTCAATGGACTACTCAGGCAACCCCAGTGTCAGCGCATGCCGTGCATGGCAGCCATCGATCGACCTCTTTTTGGCGTTTGAGCTGCGTCATGGCCGATTCGACTTTTTCAATCAACTTTTCGCTCTCTTCCTGCACAAGCGCCATCTGTCCCTCGTGTTGCTTGGCAGACGCCTCGGCACACGCGTGGATCTCTGCTTGCATGCGTACGTTGGCCTCCGTTCGCAGCCGCTCGACTTCCTGTATACATCGTAGCTGAGCATTCGCCCTCCCATCCTTCAATTCCAATTCATCCAAGCGTCGTACCGTTGCTAGCTTTACTGCCCACTCGTCACTGATAGCTTGCATGGCAGTCTCTTTCTCGCGACGATGCTGCTCCAAACTCTCATACGTGTGCTGCGCGAATTGCTCCTGCAGTGACGCTTGCATCGTCGCTAGGTCCGCCGCCTTGGATCGTTCCCACTGCGCGAACGCCGCTTGGTGCTTTTCGAGACTCAATTGCAACGCCCGTGCTTCCGCCTATCCACGGCAGACGTTCGTCCAAATGTCTCGCAAGTGCATCTGTCGTATACCTCGTGGCATGCCTTCAGCAAGGCGTCCTCCAACTCTACTCTCTGAGCCAGCATCTTTTCCCGCCAAGCGTCTTCGACAATCCGCGTCGTCTCTCGCTCGACAGTCTCCCGCGTTCGCGCCACGGCTTCATTCAACGCAACTTGTGCTGCTGCCTCTTGCGCAGCGATCGAATCGTTGCACGCTTTTTGCAGCTGGGCAGTCTTGGTTGTCAGTGACAGCTGAAATTTCTCTTCACAGGCGCGAAGGGCTTCCCTCGAATCGCGCTCGAGCTGCGACATCTACGTAGTATATGCATGCACTTCAGTTTGAACGGCACGAGACCTTCTTCTCCGGTTTACCTCTTCCTTTTGTGCTTCTTTGATGAGCAGCGCAGCACGCTGCCACTCGGCTTCTCGATCGGCCACCCCCTTGTCGTATGCGACCTTCTTCTCAACCTCGAGCCGCGCGTTGGTATCTGGAAGCAAGTGTTAAAACGCGGCACGGCAAGCTGTTTTCGAAACCTGCTAGTGCCCTCTGCCACTTGGCCGTTGTGGTCAAGACTGCCGTCCCTTTTTGCTCCAGCATGTCGCGGCGGCAAGCTTCGACTTCTGCAGCTACCTTTCCCTCCAGCACTTGTCGTAATTCGTGCAAAGCATTCGAATGTGCCGTGCGTTCCTAGCGGATGCCCGTTGACGTTAGAGAGGCTCCAAAGGACAAGGGCTTTATACTTCTTCGAGTCGGTTTGTCCACTGCTCAATGAGCTCGGTTACTTCATGGGAATGGTGCGCCTTGAGAGATTGGACAGCCTCGCGATGCGCTGCAGCCAACTTGTCGCATTCAAATGCTACTCTGGCGCGACATTGCACGATCCAGGAGCTGTCGCGATCGCTGGCAGCCATTCGTTGTCGCTCGTCAGCTTGCCTAAGTTGTTCTAGGCAGGTTGCGTCCGCCGCTGCAACCACGGCCGTCAGCTCGTCCCTTTTCAACTTTTCAACGAGGAGAAACTTGTCGTGGGCTTCATTATGCAAGCGTTGGAGCTCGTTTTGATGCGCCATCTCCATTTCGCGCATGCTTTGCGTCAGCAAGGTGGAGCTTTCCGCGCGCAGCTGTCGCTCGCGCTGGTCGGACGATTGTTTCAAGTCAGCAAGCGCTGCTTCAGCACGGGCTTCGTTGCTTTGGGCGGCTTCCTGAAGCAACTGAATGGTGTGGGCATGTTGTGCTTCGAGGCTATCGATTTCTTCACTGTGCTGGGCTGTCAGCTCCCGAATTGCGTTATCGCTCTGGGTTCGCAGGTGAGCTTCCAAGGCACTACAACGAAACACATGGTAAGGCTTTTAACATGTGGCTGGTCGACTGTGTTCAACCTCATCGCATCGGCATGCTGCTGCTCCAAATGCGACCGCGCCTCGTACAGGGCTGCTGCATGGAGGTTTGTCAACTCTGCCACAGCCATTTCCTTCTCCAGTTGACTCTTTTTGTTCAAATCGTCACACGTGGCTTCAAGTCGCTCATGCCATTTGGCTTCTCTTGCTTTCAGCGTTTCCGCCACCTTCACGCCCTGTGTTTGTAAAGCTCGGAGTGCCTGCCAGTGAGCCACCCATTTCCACCACCGCTTGTGCAGTCGCAAGGTGTCTCGTGCAGCTGTCGAGTTCACGACACTGTGTAGAGCCAGCGCACGTCGGTGCGCGTTAGCCTGGAGGACAGCCGCATCTTCTAGCTGCACGATGGATGCTTGAGCCTACTCCATGACCACGCATGACTCGAAACATGGCGAAGGCGGTGCATGGTACCGTTGCCAGTTTGGTCACGGTTGCCTGCAACTCGGCTTGTATGGCTGCGATGGCTTGCCCTTTGTCTGCTTCGAGTTGGATCAGGGATGCTTTGATGGTAGCTATAGCCTTGGTTTGGCGGTCGCTGGCCACTCGACTCCGTTCTCGCTCTTTCACGAGCTCCTCCTTGGCACAGATCAGATTTGCCTTCATGTGCGCCAAGTCGGACCGGCAAGACTCAAGAGCCGTCTAGTCGATTGTAGTGAGAATTTTCCTACGCGTCTAGTCATTCTCGAGACTCTACCTGATCGTTGTGCGCCTGCTCCCGAGTCTTGAACAGAGCCAACTTGGCCTCATTCAGCTGGTGCTTGGCACTCGTGAGCTCTCCTTGGACGACGAGGTTGGTGTCTTCGCCTTTGGCGAGTTGACTTTGCAGCGCCTGTTCGCGGTCCTTTGCCGCGAGCTTCACCGTGGTGACCTCTTGCTTCCATGCATTTTGCGCTTCTGTCAGTTGTGCCTGGAGCTCTTTGCATTTGGCTTCGGCTTCTTCTTTCACGCGGCATTCCCCGTCCATCTACACGTCCACCCGTGTTGTCGAATGCCCCAACTGTGCCGTCGTTGTCCAGAACGGACGTACTTGGTTTTTTAGGTATTGTCGCTCGTGTGTGAGCCGCCGAAGAGTCGCTTCTAGGTTGGCGCGGGCCGCGTCGTCCATGGAGCTCTTGGTGCCGTTGATGCTTTCTTGCAGCTCTTCATTCTGGAGTTCGAGTTCGGCGATGCGGCTATTCAACCGCACGGCTTCCTGAGCTAACTTTTCTGTGGTCAACTTGGCATTTTCCTCCTTGTTTCGAGCTGCCGACAAATCGCCGACCAAGTCGGTCACGTTTGCTTGCAACTGCACGATTTTGCTCTAACGAGTAAGCCCACGCACGTCAGCAATGCCACTTTCTCCATCTACAATGCCGCGCAGAGACTGCCACGTACTTGGAGCGACGCGTTTTGCGAATTGACCATGTCGAGCTCTTGCTGGTGGCGCTCTTCGACGCGCTCGAGCATCTTGCGATGGCTACCACAGGGGCATGCGTTCACCATTACCGCGCGGGGGACCACGACGTGCTACCTGTCGTCGGCCTCGACGAGGATCTTTTTCCGATCCTTCTTGAGTGCGTCGATATTGACGGTCAACGTGGCGACGTTCGACCCAAGCTCTTCCTTGCATCGGATTTCCGACGCCAACTGGGCTTTTAAGTAATCAATTTTGTGCTGGAGCTTCTCGAGGGACGCTTGGTCGGTCGCGGCGGCCGCTCTGGCATCGGCCGACGACACGGACGCCTGGAGTTTTTTCTCGAGCGTCACCACTTGCTCCTCCAGGTCGATCTTTTGATGCTGCACGTCATGCAGCGTCGCCTTGGCCTGTTTGTTTTGACTATGGGCGACTTGGAGTTGGTTCTGCAGTGCAAATAATTGGGTCTTCAGCTCGTCGATGGCATCGACACCTGCGTGTTTGCTGTGATGTCGACGCGGTTCAAGGGTCGTGGCAACGATTACCTTGACGCACGGAGATTCGCAGCGCTTCCGTTTCCATCTTGTGGCGATCGTAGATTCGTGCCACGTCGTCTTGATGCTGAGCTTGCATTTTGTGCGCATCCAGTTCGTGGTCGCGCTGCTCCTTTTCCAGTTGCCCCGTCAAGTGCTCGATCGTTTCGATCAAGCTTAATTGGTCGCCCCCTTTGTCTCGAGTCGACGGACCCATGGCTGCTGCGCCACTCCCATTGCCTCTACGAACATGCCGTCGTCAGGGTATTTGACAGACGAGTTCGATGGAGTACGTGTTGGCCAGGCGCTCGAGTAATTGCTGGTTGTAGCGTTGGTCGGCTTCCACGAGCTGGCGACGAACCATGTCATCCTTTTCGGCCATGGCGTCGGCAAACTCCTTTTGCATACTCGCTATTCGTTTCCCCAGTTGCTTGGACTGCTTCTCCAGGACAGTATTCGACTCCAGCGCAGTCGTGAGCTCTTGTTTCAACCTTCTCGACTCGCTCGTCATCCTATCGACATGTGTGACTGGCAGTCGACGAGCCATTCTTTGACGGAGATGCGGACGTACTGCGTTTCGATCTGGTGGAGCCTGTCCCGCAGCGCTTGATTTTCTTGCATGAGCGATCGATTCGCGTGATCCACTTGATTCCACTCGTGTTCGAACTGAGCCAGGACCGGCTGGTGGTTGCTTCGGTGGTCCTTTTTGGAGGACTTCTTTGTGAAGCTTCGCGTCAGTGGCTCCTTGGCGATCGCTGGCAGAGGCACGTTGTCAACTTCGTCCTCCGGGGGCGAGTTCCTGGGCGAACCCTCCTGCGGAGTCGAATGCTTGGCCAGTTCAGCGAGAAAGGCAGCTTCGTGTTGTTGATCTTGTAGCGAGTCCAGGGTCGGGGCGGTGGCCAACGGGTTATGAGCAGTCATGCCCATGAACCGCATGAGGTCCTCTAGCGACCATGCAACACAGTCGTCATCTCTTTTGCTCGATGAGCCATCACAACTTACCTGACGGTTTGATGTTGTTGTTGCCCATCAAAGGGGGACCCCCTTTGGCGGGGAAACCTGCCGGTCGCGCCTTCCTCGCCTTGCCCACACGTTTGGAGGATGGCGGGCGCTGCTGGTCATCTTCTCGGTCGTTGTCGATGCCATCGACGCTCCGATGGCGAAATTGAGTCTCCCGCAGAGCCTGTAAGTGGGTGTACACTCGATTGCAATTTGGGCACACGTGGACTTGTTTGTAAAAGGTGCCTGGGTTGGAACGACCGAGTTCGGCGCGTTGGGTCGAGTCCATGGCGGCCCATTCCACAGCAATGTCGCCGCCGGACGGTGGCCCGACTTGGAGGTATTTCATGCCCAAGCGCCCGAGGAGCACATGATGGTTGCCGATCTTTGATCGTTCCCGCGTGTCGTCTAGCACAGGCGGCGACGGCGGCGACAGAGGGAAAAGGCTACGATGGAGTGCACACAAAGCGTGGGAATGTGACAGAGGGATTGAAACCATGGGTGTACCCCGGCAAGGCGGTCGTTGGGACGGAACAGAAGTCACCGCGACACTTTGGCGCGCCATCGCTTGCCAATTTTAAACTGGGCAGCGATTGAGATTGCTGCAGCTCTGCACCAGCGTTGTCAACGTCGTCACTCTGGACAGCAGCGTTCGGAACATGCACCAACCACAAAACGTTCTCGTCGGCTTCGACAAACTCGGCCGTGAGCTTGACGACTGCGACCTACACAAAATTCGTCCATGGTGGCGTCGTAAAGGACATGAGCCCTGATGTCGTACATGCGCTGCCTGGCGAAGAAATTGAGTGATGTCGGTGGTCGCCTGCTCGACTTCTTTCCGCAGCCTCAGCGACACGACGTGGTCGATGCCTTCGCCAGTATGCTGGTGAACAGCAACCACGACACACTGTCCACTCTTGACTGTAGCAACGAGGGTAATAGGAGGGTCGGTTCGGCCAACGACGTATCCTTGAAATCCGAGAATGCTGGGGGCTTTCGAACTCGCACGAGGAGCGTCGAGGGCGTTGATGAGGTCGTCGAACTGGGCGGCATTCAACAGCTTGCGGTTGCCGTTCCGATAGAGGCAGTACGCGACAAACTTGTTCGTGTTTTGAGGGTGCGCGCTCAGACGAAGGAAGCGGTCGCGAATGCTGTCGTACGTCAAGTGGTCGTCTTTCTTTTTCGAGATCGTGCCGTGCTTGGACGCAAAGAGCCACCGCGACGGCCGGTTGGTTTGCTGGTCAAAGAACACGGTGTCCACCATGCGGACATTGCACTTGACGTCTTCTCGCCACAACGCGTGCTGCGTCCACTCCCAGCCCCGCAGCACCGTCGGCGGCGGTGAATTGCTCATCGTCCACTTGACCAACTCGTCTCGGCGATGAAATACAAGAAACTGCCATGGCAACGCGATCGTAACCGGCGGGATCGACAGAGGCACTCTTGCTTTGCTCTGAAGTGAAAGCGAACGCGCGACTCTAGTCCTTTGCCAAGGCCATGCTCCATTGCGCCGCTGTGCGATCAAGTGCAGGTCATCCTCCGCTCTGTCCTATCTTGGCGGCAGTGCGGCAAGTAGCGTGTGCCCATCATACTGCCTAGCTAGCTAGCTAGCCATATCATGGCCAATTCAACTGGTTGTGGCTACATGCACGAATTCGTTCTGTCGGATGAGGTCTAGGTAATCGGGTACAACCTGTACAAGAAGAACCCTTGAATTCACGCACAGCAAAGATCTCCGCCAGCTATCATACAGCCATCACGACGAGGGTGTGCGCTGCCGGAGCGGACGTGTGGATCGCAATGCATGCATGCGTTGACAAAGTCGTAGACGGTCCGTTGATTGCTCTGGGTGGGTTCCGTCGTGATCCATACATTTTCACCTATCGAGGGAAAGACCCAGCGACAACTTTGGACACTGCGCAGCCGTCTCTCGAACACTACTGACATGGACCATGCTCGCACCAACAGCACCCATGAAGCGACTCGTGAAGCAGCACGGGGCGGTGCCGCTAGAACTTCGTCGCTTGAGCTCGGCTACAGCCATGGGAAGCAGTTACGTATTCACCCAATGGTGTAAACACTTGAAACGGCGGATATCTAACTAGAGTCTGCGGAAACCCCCATCTTTGGAGCTGAATGGCGGAGTCTACGACGCCGATGGCACGGGACCATCGTCCTTCCTCAACGTTTGGACTCATCCTGTCGTCCGGGGTGGCCGTGACGTACCATCCTCCCCGAGGCGAGCCGCTCCGCGGGATCCTGTCGCTCAACAACGAAATCCTGCGGTGGCGGTCCAAGGAGTTGCTTCCGTTCTTCCAGGTGAAAGAAGCGATCGTGTTCATGTCGTCCGTGACGAGCGTGCGACCCGGTCGACAAACAACCACGTTTCTCCGCACGTCCAAGTACATCAAACCGATTGAGCTCATGGCAAGCGACGACAAATGCATCTCGCTCATGCACACGGTGGCGTCGGACGATGCCACGACGCATTCGTTCGACATCGAGTTCAAGTCGCCGCTGCTGTGCGAAGAAGCTCTTGCATACCTTACAGACGTCAAGCAGATTCCGTCCGAGACAGTCGACGCGTCAGCGGTCCCGCTGCCCCAAGGCCGGTCTGTGTTTTGCCAGCGGCTGTACTCGCACCCGACGTTTGGCCACGCGATTCTAGCGTGCATCGTGATCAACATCGTCACCATGTCGATGGAGTCGCCAGTGGAGTCGGACAAGTCGTTTCTCTTGGCCATGTACGCGCTGGACACGGTGTTTGCCATCATTTTTACGGTGGAGCAGATCGTCAAGATCATTGCGGTCGAAGGAGTCCGACCCCTCTTCCACGACAACTGGGACATTGCCGACTTCTTGATTATCTCGACGACGTGGCTGTCATGCATCCCGACCTTCTCGGCGTGGAACATGAGTGCGTTCCGGAGTTTTCGCGCGCTGCGGTCCCTTCGATTCTTCAAAGGCCTGTCCGAGTTCTTCGACACGTTTCTCAAGACGCTGCCGATGGTTGTGAACGCCCTGAGCTGTTTTGGGTACTTTCTCTTTCTCTTCACCGTCCTGGGCATGTACTTGTTCAGCGAGGCGCTGACGTATCGGTGCGCAGTCGAAGGGATCGACGGAACCGTGGTCGAGGTGATCCCGACCACGTACTGCCGCCCGGGCGACGACTCGACGTGCCTGGTCGGCCACGAGTGCCGCCCCATGCTCAGCCCCAATGGAGGGTACACGGGGTTCCACTCGTTTGAAGCGGCCTTCCTGACGGTCTTCATGATCTCGTCCCGCGCCGGGTTCGGGTCGTCCTTCGATGCAACCGTCCAGACCAAGTCGTCGTTCAGCGTGCTCTACTTTCTCGCGCTCATCATTTTTGTGTCGTTTATGATTCCGTCGCTGTTCATCGCGATTGTTCGCAACTGCTTTACGTGTGTGGCCGTCAAACACCCGTCGTCGCACAAGTCGGAGCTCCAGTTGAAAATGAACATCTACAAGCTCAAGCAGCGCCCGCAGATGCCTCCTCCCACCAACCACATTCCAAACGTTGTCCAGTACGCGACAAAGCGAGTTGTCCAGGCCGTCAAGAGCTTCTTGGATGCCACGTCGCACCAAACGCGGAGCCTGTCGACCCAGGACGGAAACAATAGCAGCGCGACGGCCGACGATACCACGTCGTCGTCATTAGCCTTTGGAGACGACGACGGCGGAGGAATCGGGTCCGAACCGCCTCGGTCCATCCGAGTCGTCAACGAGAACGCTGTCATGGTGTTCTTTCTCTTTCCCAGCGACGGCCGCGTCGTCCGGTGGTTTGAATTCGTGTGCCGGAGCGCAACGTTTGAGCTGATCGTCAACTTTCTCGTGTTGCTGAACGCGCTCCTCCTAACCATGGAGCAAGCGTCGGCGCACGAACCGCCCGACTGGTACGAGGACCGCGTGGCGCTGGTCGACCACTCGTTCACGATGATTTTTTCGGCCGAGGTATTTTGCCGTGTGCTGACCGACCACGGGCTCTGGCCGTACTTGCAAGACCCGTGGAATCGCTTTGACTGCGCCATCGTGTGCGGCGCGCTGGTCAATTTTGTCGCAAAGTCCAAAAGCGTGTACGCGCCGGCGCAAGAACGCGTCGCGTTCATCTTTCGCATGTTTCGGTTCCTGCGTCCGTTTCGCATGCTCCACACGCACAACCCACTGCTCAAGATCGTTGAAGCGATTCTGAGCAGCCTCGCGTCGCTATTCGACCTCGTGCTCTTCATGCTGCTCGGCAACGTGGTGTTTGCGATTCTCGGCATGAATCTGTACGGCGGCAAGTTCCCCCCCGGTACGTCGTCGCCCTCGATGCAGGCGGCCATCGACGCACGACCCTCACCCTGCTTTCCACAGGACGCACGCACTTTGACACGTTTGGCGACGCAATGCTGACGCTGTTCAAGATCTCGAGCGGCCATGGGACGTGGAGCATCTTCTACGATGCGCTGCACACCACATCTGGTGCGATTGCGACCACGTAAGGGACCACTCGGTCGACACCTGTGTTTTGTACTCACGTCATTGCATCGTTGTGGCTGTAGGTACTTCCTGAGCTACACGGTGTTTTCGGTCTACATTACGCTCAACTTTATGGTGGTGATTTTGCTGAAAAAGTTCAGCGTGACGGAAGACGAGAAGCGCAAGCAACTTTGCGACCAATTCAAGCAATCGTTGGAGCAAGCGATGGCAGCTTACCCCGACACAAACGAAGAAGCGTTCGTGCACGAATTTGTCAAAGTCTTCCCGACCGAAACGATGCACGTGACGTTGCCGCAGCAATCGCCCGGCAAACCAAAGCTGGAGGACACCGCCGCGCCGTCGCCACGGAAAAAGCTCTCCCCGTGGACGAGGACGTTACGTCGCCCACTGACGGGACCCAAGCCAAAGTCCGGCAGTGCCGTGCTTCCGTTCTCGTCGCACGTGCTGCGCAAAGCGACGGCGATTCTCCGCCCACCTTCCTACGAGCCCGTTGGACACGATTGTTCAACGGGGGAGGCGAACCCCGATGGACCACCGCACCGCCAGGCGCCGCAGCCGTCGCTCCCCGTGTGGTCCTGGCTGTACAACGACGTGTCCCTGTTTGTGTTTGGACCAGACAGCGAGATCCGCAAGACGTGTGCCGAGCTCGAGTCCAAGACCGAAACTTTCATATGGGTGTGCATCGTCATTCGCAGCGCGCTGATCACGCTGCAGAGCCCACTCTACAGCAACACAATCCAGCAGTTTACCAACCTGATCGAATGGCTCTTTATGCTCGTGCTCTTGTTTGAGTTCACGATCAAGATTGTGGGCAAGGGCTTTGCGTTTACGCCGAATGCGTACCTGAACGACCCGTGGAACCAAATGAACGTTGTCGTGCTGCTTGCGTGCATCCTGCTGCTGTTGATCCCGCATTCGGACCTGAGCGAGTACTTTCACCTTGGCCGCGCGTTTGGCCCGGTCCGCGTCATTCGCGGCATGAAGAGCTTCAGCGTGATCATGAATGCCCTCATGTCGTCGCTCCACCAGGTCGTGTGGTGTGTCGTCGTCACGTGCTTTGGCTTTGTCGTGTTTGCCTTGATCGGGCAGCAACTTTTTGCTGGCAAGTTTGAGAGCTGCAACGATCGGTCGCCCAGCATCATCACGTATGTGGACTGCGTGGGGGTGTTTATTCACCCCGTGACCAATACGCTCATGCCGCGGGTGTGGGGCCACGTCAAGGGGATCCATTTTGACACGTTTGGCGGCGCTCTCGGCACCCTCTTTAGCGTTGTGTCCAAGAAAGCGTGGATCGGGGTCATGTACACTGCGATGGACATTGTCGGGGAGGGGCACCAGCCCCGCGAAGACGCGTCCAAGTACTTTGCGTTCTTCTTTGTCGCGTTTGTGTTTCTCAGCCGGTTCTACATGCTCCGTGTGTTTGCCGGCGTGATCGTCAACAACTTTCGTGCGCACAACGGGACGATCCTCCTGTCGAATCGACAGCTCATTTGGCTTCGCAACAAGCGTCGCATTGTGGCGCTCCACCCGCAGTATCCCGCGCCCAGCACGACCACGATGAAACTCGTCTACGAAGTTGTGAAGCACCCGACGTTCAAAGCGCTGTCGTCGATAGCTGTGCTCACCCACGTGACGATCTTGGCTCTGTCGGACGCCAACTCGCCCAAGATTTGGGTCGCTCACCACTTTTTTACCATCGTGTACGGCACGGAGGCCGCATTGACCGTCATGTCGATGGGCATTCGCGAGTTTCTCACACGGGGATGGTCCTCCGAGGGCCTGAACGCGTGCTTGGTCATTTGCATGGTCATGGGACCGCACATGACGTCGTCCACGAGCGTGCTGGTCCTGGGCGTGCTGCGGGCATTCGATTTCAACCACTTGACGCTCGTCCTCGAACCATTTCCGAACTTTCGGGGCCTGAGTTCGCTCTTCCAGACGATCCTCGAGTCGACACGCGCCATGGTCAAACTCACGCTGCTCCTCGGCTACGTCATGTTTATCTACGCTAACTTGGGCATGCAACTCTTTTCCTTGACCAAGTGGGGCGTTGGGCTCGATGGAAATCTCAACTTTTCAACGTTCCCCCGTGCTTTTGCCGCCTTCATCAAGTTTGCCGCTGGCGAAGACTGGTGCGTCCTCGATCGACGTGGAGCTGCACGTGACTGCCGTGTCTGGTGTAGGTCGGACGCGTACCGCGCGTGCAGCGTGGCCCCGCCAAACTGCGTCTACCGCGTCGGGTCTGAAAAATCCGACTGCGGCTCCAAGGGCCTCTCGACCATTTTTTACTACTCGTACTTTGTCCTGGTCTTCCTCATCCTCCAAAATTTCTTTGTCGCGGTGGTTCTCGACACGTACGTCAGTACGTCCGCGATGCTGTCCGAGAGCGACTCGCTCAACAAAGTCGGGTTCAACGTGAACCATCTCCAAGCGTTTCGATCGATCTGGTCGCGGTGCGATGTCCAGGCGCTGGGGTACATGTCCCGGCGGAAGCTCCTGTGGTTTCTCAAGGAGCTGAACCCGCCGCTGGGACTCAACACCGGCCGCGACGCGTCCGACCCACTCGACAAGCGGTTTATGGACACCGACGGCATGGCAATATATGTCGAAGTCATGGCTCGTTTGGATGAACTCACCCATCGTCGGCACTTGCTTCGCGGCGAAAGGTAGACTGCACCAATATGCGTCCATCGTCAGACGCTGAGCGTTTGAACTGGTCTAGATACGAAGACAAGATGATTCGCTTTAAGGACTTGCTCCTGATCTTGACCCAGCGCACCGTGCCGTGCGAGGGCCTCACCATCAGCGAAAAAGTCATCGAACTCTCGACAAGGCACTACATTGATCGCTACCGCGCGGCGATCAAGATCCAAAAGACTTTTCGTGGCAGCCTGGTCGCCACTCGGAAGCGACGACGCCGGGGAAGCAGCACCAACGCGCCGGGGGGGCAGTCGGATGGACAGTCATACCACTACTACAGGCACGTGTCCCAGTTGGTCGGGTAGCCCGGGCGAGGTACGCAATTCTTTTGCCCCAGAAGCCAGCGACGATGCTCGCCATAACGTTCGCTAGCAAGACTTCCACATTCATTCGTGATCACATCATGACACCAGGACATGTGTAGTGTGTACTAGGTAGCTGGCATTCCATCGTAGCACCATCGTGTCATACATGTCACGGGGTGAATGGGCAGAGGCGGTGAGGCAGGTGCCAGCTAACGAGAACCCGACTGGTTTCATGAATAACGTTGAGACTATTGCTTTTCTCTCGTGTTCCCGAAGCAGCCGCTGTCGACCAAACGAGCCACGACGACAGGGCACGGACGGTCTCCACGATTCAAGGAAATCGGCGTCTGCTCCATGGAAGAACGTAGGAGCGGGAATGTGCTCCAGTGCCTGTCGAGGTTCCGTTGCGGCGCATGGACTTGGCAAGGCTGGGCCACGGGAATTGGGGCGAGTGTGACTGGTTGCGACGGCAGGAAGCTGGACTTGGACTTCTTGATTGCAATGGCAAGCACGGACGGCGGTAGGCCCTTGTGCTGGTCGCATGAAGAGGGAAGGGAAATATCCGTATTGGGGGTTCGCCTTGTGCCTCGCTTCTATTGCCTCATGCAGACTAAGCAATGATCGCTTAACTACTACATCGGTTGAAGTCGTTGAGGCGAATTAATCCTCAACGTGGACGAGAAGTTGAGTGGGCTTCGGGAGAAGGACCCGCTTGGTGGGGATGTACTTCGGTTGCGTTGACTTCTTGGGTCGTGTTAGTCTAGTCATCCACGCGTTGTACAGGTATAATATTTGATTGGTGGAAATGGATAACATGGCGGAAAATGATTGGCCAGATTTTGTAAAATGCATGATTAGTCGTGGTTTTTCAATCTGCAACATTCGCTAAAGTGCGCCGAGCGGAACGTCATGGTCATAACGAGCCATGGCACCGTGCCACCAAAAGCTACACTGTGTGAAGCCAACAATGGGTCGTTGTGCCACGCGGCAGAGGGTGACTGACTCACTTTCGTGTACACTGGAGGCTCAGGCTACACAAGGCACACTGCATCCATACACAGCGACGATGAAGATCGACATGGAGAGCATGATGCCTTCGTTCACGAGGGATAGTCATTTAACTTTAGGTTTGAGTGTAGTCTAGATATTAGCTGCCTAGTGCGGACGTGCTCCACCATTCAAGTAACACAGCGTCAGCACCATCGAGGAGGGAAGCATCCGGGTACATCGCGCCATACCAACTGTCGCGTGCTGGGTTGTGTCGAGTCGTGCTGGCTGCTTTGCTGGTGTCACTAGATCGTGATTTGGGACCGACGCGGGGGGTGACCGTGGCATAACATTGCTGGTTGTGCTTCAGAGCGTTCATCGCGTGGACTTGAGTGGATTGCATGTTCGAGGGAAATGGAAGAATGACAGAGCGTGGGTGTCCCGTTTGGTGGAGCGGCGTCTGGTTTATGGATATCACGATTCGCTCATGATGTGAGCATCGCGCTGTTGGAGAGTTTGCTGGCAATAACAACTCAACGCAGCAAAATCGGATGACTACTTGGACCCTTCTGACTTGTGATTGGTCCATTGGTAGGCGTCACCGGATTGAAGGCTGTGGATTGGTCAGATTGTACGACGAACTTCCGAGAGGGCGACGTCGCCTGAACATTCCAAGTCATACTTATTTAGCCACAGCTGAGAGTTGCCTCAGTCTAATGAAGCGGCGCAGGTGTATAACGTGATAATATTTCCTCCGTTCCACAAAGAAGTTTACTAGTACCACCTTTTGGACTCAAAGATGTTATGAAGTACTCCCTCCGTTCCACAAAAATGTACT